ATATATATACATATATATAGAAAAGGCACTTGATGTTTTTGGATGACAATCCAGTGTGATCATAGTGGGAGAGGAAGAAGCGACAATGTCGGCAATGTGGAAGTTTAAACTGTTGGAAACTGATAACATATATAATACATAGTATATCCATTAATGCACTACTACTTATGCATTTTTTACTTGTTGCTTGTGAACAGGTTGAGTTTAGATGTGAAAATTTACAAATTTGCACTGTTCGAGTGTAGTCATTGTGTTAGACTGAGTAAATGTCATGAATAAATTTGACATTAAACATAATCCAAGTTGAAGTGTTGCATCGTTTTCAGACTCTTTTGTTTGGCATCTGCAGACCAAATTTGACCAAACCCATGCATAATAATGTAGTATTTTAATTCCACAGCAGAGAAAGATGTAGTCTCTGTAAATAGGTCTAGGGAAAAATATTGGTATTGGCCAAATGTTTTAACATATCGGCCAAAAATCCAATATCGTGCATCCCTTTTATACTTGATCAACATTCAGTGGTTTTATATTCCTGCTTTTTGATGTGTTAACAGTTCCTAATGAACACCAGCATCATTTTGTACACATGCACAAACTAGCAGTAATCATGTTCATCATGCCCATGCAACCATTCGTGTGCTGTGAAGGCATTAGATGTTAGTGGTTAGCAAACTTTGTGCAGCAGGTTGGGCAGACACAAGTAGTGTTTAAGCAGACCACAGGTTTCCAGAAAGTGCAAATTAGAAGAGCACCGCAGGCGACTAAGAATCAGCAAGCATGGGCAGAGCAAGACATGGAAACACAAAGAAAAGGACAGAAGAGTCTCCCTACATGCAAGCACTGAGAAGACAGCAGGCAAAGGGGGGAAAGGTGAATGGTGGGTCACTTTTAATGATGGTCAGAGCTTTAGTGTTATGAAGGAGCTGATCCTCTGCAGAGAAACATTTGTCAAATAAATGGAAGGCAAGGTAACTCTAACCTGCTGTTTAAATGTTTAAAACACAACATATGTGAAGGAAAACGATCCTCTGACAAAAAACCTACTTTGGCCATATGTCCCCCCAGCTGGAAATTAAATTTAATCAAAGCAGTTTCATAAGCATTTCCATCCGAGACACACAAGAGAAGGTAACTTGACATCAGCTATCCAGTTTCACCACATGCCTAAAAAACAGAAGCAGCAGCGTTTCCCTCCAAGTCCAAACCAGAGTCTGCTCCTGCATTTAGCCCCACAGAGGATATTATTCATGACTACACTTGTTCTTCCACTTACAAATTGCCATTTTAAGTTTGTATACTGATGCAGGAATAAGTTTGGAAATGCAATTTTCGAAGATTAAAAACAAAAAGGAAACGCGTGTTAAAAAGGCACACCATTCAACACGCTCTGACAAAATGAAGACAATACAAAATTTCAATGAAATGAACTGCGATTTTTAATAAAAGGCTTTGCAAATTTTACAAAAGGCAGGAAAAGCAACAACAAAACACGTCCTGTAGTTTCTTAAATAATACTGTCATTCTGTTTCTTGTGGTCTTCCTATAGCACAAGCTATTAAAAGGTGATTTGACCTGCGTGTCCTAAAGAATAATTCAAAACAGTGGCTTTAAAACACCAGTTTTTACTCTCCATATGTATACCAAAGGCCTTTATTGCAGAGCAAACTAAAACACAAGATATATAAGTCCACTAGAGTGCATAACCTTAAAACATGCACAGAAACTAACTTGTGAGCAGGCGTAAACATCTTTTTGACCAAAAATAAATGCAACATAGTTGCATAAAGTGACTAAAAATTGTATGCATAGCTTACAAGAGGCAACCAGTGGCAGACTGTAATGTATGATAAAACTTTAACAAAAAAAAAATCAATTAAAAGCATTTTCACTAGAAAACAACAAAAAAAAATTTGATTTTTATTTTAATACTTACTGAAAATGAAAAACAAAGTACATAACTGAGAACCTTCAGTGATTGAAGCATTAAATATTTGTACCAGAAATATGTTGAAAATGAAAAAAAGAGACAACTTTTATTTTACAGAGGTCTGTAGAGAGCAGACAAGGCCAAAGCCTCCAAAACCTAAACAGGTTCTTTCAGAGTCTGCAGCCTGAGGATTGTGGGCCGTGTTAAACACATGACTTAATGCAGTGAGTACAACAGAAGCAGGTTTGGTTGAGGAGGAGTTGTAGTGCTAATAGTAGTTGGTAGTAGCAGTAACACCAGGGAAATATGGAGGTTTGGGTGGAGGGAGGAGGGTGAGAGGAATGTGAGAAAGCCCAAAGCTGCCAAAACCAGCTGGATGTTAACTATCAAAGGCACCGAGGAAGGACACAGGACAGGAACAGGAAGCCCCGCACAGGAAGCGCATCATCAGTGAGTCAATAGCTTAAGCCGCGTGATCCAACTGACCAGTAGTGAGCGTTCTGCTGGCGCCCGCCTTGAGATGGGGGTCACAGCGGCCTTTTTCGTGTCTTCCTGATAGGGGATGGTGGCGCTGTTGTGGAGGTCGGAGTTGGAGTAGTAGCGGCTGCCTCGGATGTGGTCCACCCGGATGAGGTGACGCTCCGCTGCAGGCCTGTAGGGCGAAGAAACCGACGGGACCTCTTCTGCAATGGTGGGGATCCGCTCGTTACTCAGGTATCTGTAGAGGAGGTCCTCACCTAGCACAAACAAATATGTTTTAACTTAAAGGAAAACATGGTTTTAATCTAAAAAATATAAAATAAAGCATACCTTTCCTGCCTTGTGCCCAGGGCTTGGCGTATGTATCAGCAATTTTAACACACGTATCTGCTGGCATTGACAGCGGCCGTGGCTTACCTTGAGACAAAATATTCACATTTGTTAATGGATTTATTTTAGGAAACAGTCTGACTCAGCATTTGTAGGAGGAATAATAAAAAGATGGATTGGTGAGGAGGTACTGACCCCGTGACGACTTATGTTCCCTCATTCTGGGCTGCAACACGTTGGCTTCAATAGGACAACCGGAGCTCAGCTTGTCATTGTCTGTGTCAGAGCTTCGTTTTCTGCTCTTCTGGTCCAGGAAGAAGTTGGGTGACTCAGAGCCCTTTGGTATTTTACTGGTGCTGGATATGGAGTCTGTTTTCATCTCTCTGTGCACAGGAACAAATTTCCAGTGAATAATCAGAGCTTTGCAGCAAAAAGTTGCATGTTTACGATCACTTGCAATACATAACATGAAATGTTTGTTTTGTGGCACGATCTTGGAGGTGTAACCTAAAACTGTTGATTCATGCAAGTTATTGTGGAGGAAGAGTGGGCTGACGATGAGCAGAGGAAGGACTGGGAGAGCTGTTGATGTGACTGAAGCCCACTGATCATCCATCACCTGCACGTCTGACTAATGAAATCCAGCTGTAATATTCCGCCCCCCCTTGCTGTAAATTCTTTGAGTGGTACATTTAATGTTCTTTTACAAATCTAACCTTTTAGAGCACAGCTTTTCCAGTAAAATCAAAAAAAAAATGATGTCAGAAACTGAAATGTTAAAACAGACAAATTACCAGAAACAGCTAATCAAAGGCTTTTGTCCGTTTAGAAGAAAAAAAAGTGCAAATTTTCTTGCTGACCATCAGCGGTTCTCAGAATTGTTTGCATCGCGGATCAGTTTCATAAGACTTTCTGAGAGACTAGTGGGGAAAAATCAGTTTTTCAACCAAGTTGGCTTCTTCCTCTTTTTGTTTGTGTTAGCTTGTAGGTTTGCCATCATGTAAAAAAAAGCAACTGCAACAGAGTAAAGTGCAGGAAAGAGGTGTGAACAGAAGTGGTCATTTTTCAAAATAAAATATGCTGCAAGTTAATTAATAGGACAGGACATCCTTGTAAAAGAGATTAATAATCTCAGTGGATTTCTTCCTGATAAAAGAGAGTAAAAAAAAAAATATATATATAGACAGATAGACAGACAGACACAGACAGATAGATAGATATTTTTAAATAAAAGTATTGATCTACATTATTAAATAATAAAGATAGTGAAATAAATAAGATGGCTCACCTGGGGGTGTATGGCATTGGAGGAGGAGGGGGAATGTACAAATCTAGGAAAGCTGGCTTCTCCTTTTTGGTTGATCCATTAGCCGAACCACAGGGGGATTGGGCTCTGATCAGAGAGGAATTATTCTGGAGGGGTGGGAAAGCAAAAATCAGTTATTCATAAATACATCAGTCCATTCTCCAAGATCACAGGGTTCAATCCTCAATAACCTACAGCATGCATGTTATCATTCTCAGTCCGGGTTTCTAGCTACAGTTTCTTCAATCCCCAAATATGACTTGCTGGCCAATGGGAGGAGTTCACCATAAGTGGTGAGACATTTAGTGCCTGTGTGCGTCTGAGTATAAATTTTCTTGTTTGAGGTATGGAAAGATTGTAATTGAAGTCCAAAATAGCTCGTGAGATGTTCACGCATTCACCACAGTTATGTTTCCCAACTCCCAACAACAGTGTCCACTAAAAAAATGACTTTTAAGTGCTGCAGTTCTCAGAGCTAAAACAGAACAGGATATAATGTTGCCACATACACAAACTGAAAGTGGTTTATTTTGAAATCCAGGTTATTTTATTGTCCCCGTTTTGACTGAAGCCTCGTTATCACAGATAAGCTGAGATGGCCAACGCTGATAACTTGGAGTACTTGTTGGAGTAGATGCTGGCGCACACAGCGTCCATTGTTTTCAGAACTTCTGTTGTTTGAAAAGCTCAGCTGTGCTATTATTTCATCTCATCTCATCCTCCCCTTCTCAGGTTATAAAACAAGCTACGCATGACTGCTCCTCAGCTACAACCATGGACGTTTTAGTTTACAGTGAGCTAATTGACTCCCAATCTGTTAAAAAAGAACTACCATATTTTCCGGTGTATAAGTCGCAGTGTTTTGCATAAATTTCAGTCCTGCGACTTATATACGTTTCTCCCCATATTCAAAACACAATTTTTGACTGATGCTTTAAATTTCTAAGAACTGCAACAGCAAGTCCACCCACGTGCGCTCACTTCACTCAGCTGGTGTAGGCAGAGGAACGCTGGAGAGCTAGCAGCTCCGGCCACGATGGATGGATGGATGGATGGATGGAGCCGCACCACCCAGGCGAAATGAAGCTGTTTTGGCCATTAAAGTAAATTTATTAAGGAAAAGTTAAACTGAGACACACCTTTGCTATAATGTTGAGCAAACAAATAATTGTTGTAAAGTGTTGATCTTGTTAAATTTCTTGTTAAATTTCTAAGTGACGCATAATAAATGCGACATATGTTTTTTTCCTCTTCATGATGCTTTTTTGACTGATGCGACTTATACACCGGAAAATACGGTATGTAAAGAAATATAGATAAAACACCAACTTAAGTTGAATGTGACCAGGATGGTGCATACATCATTAAATCACAGTTACTTAATTTTAGAGCCAAAATATTCACCAGCTGCCTCGGATCGTTCTTTAACCGTCGGATGTTTTGACACGAAAAAAGAAATAAAGATTAACCCGAGTACAATACTTTACGCTCCATTGGCTTCTTTTAATGGCAACATCTGGGTCGTTTGTGTCTAATAAAGCCTACAGACTACAGACAGGCAGCTTTATCTTGGAGAACGAATGACATCATGGGAATTCGTTCCCATCTTTTGTTGTGCATCAAGATAAAGCTCAATGGTGTATTCAGTTCAGCCAGCAGCACTTTCAGGGTGGCTCTGTCTGAACTTGCTCTTTTGGAACCAACTCCCTAAAAAGCCAATAGCTGATTGTCAGTAATTATACTGTGCGGGTTTGCTGATTTTTAAGGATGAAAGAGAGAAGTGTGTATGGGAGCATGTACCTGAGGTACAGGAGGCTTCCAGCGCATGTTCTTAAGGGGGGCAGGGGTGAAACCACCTGTGCCGGTGGGCCTCTTCTTAAGAAGTAGCACCACACCTTTTGGGTCCTCCCTCAACTTAAAAACAAGGTTTTTCAGCTGCCAGCCAACCTGGTTAAAACAATATCAACACACATTAAACAACACTCTAAAATCGTACTCAATCTGAGAAGCACAAAATGAGATTCTCACCACAGTCTGCTGGTTGACTTGTATCACCTCATCACCAGCATGGATCCTTCTTGATAGATCTGCAGGAGACTAAAAAAACAAAACAAAACAAAAAAAAAATTAGATCGTTGAAAGCTACTTTCAGAAACTTCTGCACACAGCTCAAACAGTTTTGACCTTCCTACACAATTCCTGTTATTCTTTAAAAACTGCGCTCAAAAATAAAGAGAAACTGACAGTTTCCGAGAACAAACCACAGCAGAAATGTTTCTCGTGTAAGACAGAAGACAAACAAGCTTAACGTATCATTACTGCTGATGATTCAGGTCCTGATTCACGTTAAGGCACAAGAGGCGTGAAGACGGGACTGTGTCAGTCACGCTTGTGCATTAGTCACCAACAAGTTGTCTCTGTGTGGGTAAAAGGTCTGTTTGTTTGTGGAGGTTGTTTGTTATCTTTGCTGGTAAGTTTAATAAGGAAACGATTATTCTTATAAATGGGGAGTTCTTAATTCTTTTAGATTTGGCAATTCATGGTACTCACAGTGGAGGATGAGTGTGTTTCTTTTTAAAGCTTGCAACTTAAAACTATTTTTACATGGAAACAGGCTGATTGTATTCTTCTAAAGCATCTTCTGTCATACTTACATGTTCTGTGGTTCCAGTGATGACATGTAAACCATCATACGTAGACTTGATGTACATTCCCTAGTTTTATAAAAACAAACACAATGTTCCCAGAAGGGGATGAATGGAAGACAGAGAAATCGAGGGCAACAATTTGACATGCATTTTATACATTCCTGGTGAAGACGTCCAACAAGCATACAGCAGTCTTGGATTTAACAAGTGTGGTGGAAAAAAGGGAAACGTGAGCATTTCTTACCAGACCCTCGCCTGGTTTGATGTCAGTCAGCTGGACTTCCTCCAAACATGTAGACTGGCTCATGAGGGGGTCAGATGTGGTTCTCACGGTCTGATCACAGATATTGTTCAAAACTTTGGACTGCAGGGGAAAAAAAACAAAACAGCAAAACAAAAATGTAAATAAATATACTGCCACTCCTGAAGTTGATAATCTTATCGATTGTGACTCTGTATGTTAGTGCTCTGTAAGAGTTCATGGGCTAACTCAAACTAAAAGTGTGTCATATGGACACACAACACTGAATTCAAGCCTGTGCACACACCCCTTTACATTGTCATTTACTCCTTCATAGACAAAACTTGTAATAGTCTTAATTAGAGAGGAGATGTGGCACATGCATTTTGTTTTAAACTTATTTTGATTACGTTTAGCGAATAAATTAATAATAACTAATAGAGTGGAAAAATCCATAAATATGTTGCTTCGCTGCATAAGTTGCATCTAATATGCGTCACCCCTGACGTGTCGCGTTTGTTACGCATCACTGCTGACAACCCAAAAGCGTGGGCCAGTGTTGTGCCAAAAATCGATTGGCTGCCAAATGGCGGCCACAGGAGCGTGCACGGGAGGACTTTATCAAGAATTTAACAAGATTAACACTTAAAAACAATTATTTGTTTGCTTGAAATTATAGCAAAGGTGTGTCTCAGTCTAACTTTTCCTTAATAAATGCACTTTGACGATCAAAGGAGGAGGACTCGCTGTGCATTTCTTCAAAATTTAACAAGATAACCACCTAAAAACAATTACTTGCTTGCTCGACTTTATAGTAAAGTTGTGTTTCAGTTGAACTTTTACTTAATAAACGGACTTGAATGGTCAAATCAGCTGCATTTCAAAAGTATTCACTGCCTCGGTGCTCCGGGAGCGCGCAGACAGGGAGGAAATCAGGAAGGAGGAATGCTGCGCATTTCTTCAAAATTTAACAAGATAAGCAACTAAAACAATTATTTGTTTGCCCCACTTAATAGCAAAGGTGTGTCTCAATTGAACTTTTCCTTAATAAATGCACTTTAATGGTCAAATCAGCTGTATTTCGCCTGGGCGGCGTGACAAAATGCAGCTATTTGACGTTTGCTCCAGGCAAGCTGGACAAAGATGGCTCAGTACGGCAAGCTGATTGTGTCATTAATAGCCACTTTTACCTATTACATGACAATGGCAAGCCATACTACTCAAGTGCCATCTAGCAGGCTGAAAATGGTAGTGTTCAATATTTTCAGTCAGAATGAATGAATGGTCATATATCAGTCAAAAACTGGTTTATAAATATGGGGAAAAAAATCCATAAATAAGTTGCAGGGCATGCAAATTATGCAAAAAAACGCGACTTATAGGCCGAAAAATATGGTAGTTGTGATAAGGGCAAAATTGCAAAAGCAGTAGAAAAAAAGAGAAGTGCAAAGGATGAACACAAGAATTGTAAAGGGGGAAAAAACAAGGGGCAAATACTGTGCTTGGATTGTCTACGACATCTTGAAGCTTGATTTAAGACCAAAAAGTCTGGAGTGTCAGCAACAGGAAACGCTGATTGATGTTTGGGGCGTATTATTCCCGCCCGCTCTACTGGTGATCCTGTCTGCTCTTTTCACTCAGAAAATGACCTTGTTGCTGAAAGCATGTCACAAGATCGCTATGTGAAACGACACAGAGGCTTATATCTTATGGGATCCTGTGGGTCTCATTTAGTTTGGATTATATTAAACTATACAACATACTTACAACTTCAAGGATCTTTTCTTCCATCTCGTAAATACTGCAGTCCTGCTGCAAGAGAGACAGTTGGGACAGATAAGACGTGTGTGCAGTAAACAGGACAAGTGAAAGAAAGCATTTAATGGCTAGAGGGGGAAAGAAAGTATAGGGGTTAGGTAAAGACAGTGTAATCAGAACCCTGCATATAGAACAGAGAAACATGGAGAGCAGCAGAAAATAAACAATTTTTAGTGTAAAATTACATCTTTGCCTACGTTTTGTGGGTGCCATAATCACATAATGTCCATTGCGGTTCATCTGAATGCGGTGGAACTAAAATACGACTCAAAACACTTACGTAGTAACGACACGTGACTGACGGAGAGGAAAAATGTGCAATCATGCTTTGAGAAATGGGCCCCCAAATAGTGTTTAGGTTTTCTGCAAATATTTAGATGCGATCGCTTCTTTCCAGTTGTGAGTGGGTGGGCTTGTGGAGTCAGGGGTCTCTAGAAGTCAAGCGGGAAGATGGCTAGGATTATTTTATCGCTGAGCTATTTGAGATGCTGATGAAACCTGCAAAGTCAGTCAGAAGAATGTCTACTGTCACCTCAAAGTGTCCCTACAGCTCGACTCAACACAGCTGAGGCAACAGCTTCTCTTGACAACTGTGCTGCTGGTGGAGAAGAGGGTGGGGTAATACCTCAAGGCTAGTCGTCCTTGAAAACAGAAAAAAATGCTTGTCAAAACCAGACAGCACAAAATAATCTATGCATTGTCCCTTACTTTTTGAGAGCACTCAAAAGCCAGAGCGTACTATCAATACAAAATTAAAGAAAACTGGCATTATAACGTGTTCGGACTTGTGCCAAGTACAAAGGCAGCTCTGTTGCTCTTTGTAAACCCATTGTGCAGACAGCAAATGGGGGTCGAGAAAGTTTCTCTGCATTTCCATAGTTCGCACATTCCACGGGGTTTAAAGGGAGCATCTGTTTTTAAATGCACTTGGCTCATCATCCTGATGGTTTGTTTGCACTGGCTAGATCTGCATGACTGGCCGTAAGCAATGACTGTACATCAGTGTAAACAGACATCTACATCGTTTGCTCTTTTTTACAATGTGTTTGAAAAGAAAATCCTGTCAACTTGTGAAAAAAGAGCCTAAAGTCTCCTATAATGACTAGGTTATTGTGGTTAAGCTGTGATTATGTCATGTTTTTCTTACTTGATGGCAAAGTGCCCAAAAAAAAACCAACTTTCAATTTTTTAGAAAAGCCCATAAATTGTTTCAATGGACATACATTGGTCTCAAAATCATGCTTCCATACAAAGTAATTTCTCTTGTCAGACTTGAATATATGGTGGTGTCAGAAAGAATTTAGCTATGCTTGCATATCCAAGCAAGTGCATATTTTCTGTAGCCTATGTTTGGAGATGGAGCCAAAAGGGGATAAACTATAAATATGTACTTCATAATTTTAAGAGATTGTGAAAGAAAACAGATTGAAAATAGGCTGCAGACATGAGTTGGCATCCTTCACTTCAAGCTTTAACATTTAGAAAACTTTTTCCTCTTATCACAAAGTGTAAAAACCATGTGAAAGCAAAAACACAATTATTCTAAACTTGGTTTGCAATGTCAAAAATAGTTTTGGATCTTTAATTCAACCAGAAACAGGGGTGAGATTTTAACTGCACAGAGAGAGGCTGAGGGCCAATTCTCTGGATGAACTGATCCCTCACATTGTGGACTTGACCCTACAACCAATGTGGATCAGATTACCCTTGTTGTGCAGCTTTAAGGGCTTTTGATCTGACACCAGAGCGGATTTGCATGGCCAAGCAGTGCACTGAGTCAAAGGGAGGAGTGCTGGCAAAGAGAACCTGGACGTACTTCACACCATTTGCAATACTGGTGACCTTCTAATGTTCATCTAATATCCACATATAATATCACTGATGGATATGACAGGTTATTTTCAGTAATGAAATCGATAAAAAAGGGACTTAAATTCCACATCTGCTTCTGCAAATTAAGAGCAGGACCAAAAAAAAAAAAAAAAAAAAAGCACTTTTGGAAAAAGGATAAACTCCACTTTGCTGGGTAAGCCAAGATGGGCGACGTGTTTATAGCTTTAAATCCCTGCTCCATTGTCTGTGAGCACACAGGCTTCATTCAGGCACAACACATAAATTGCATGGAGCTTTAGTTTTGAGCAGAAGTTTTTTTTTTTAAAAAAGAGTCTGAGCAAACCTCCATAATAAACCAATCACAGAGACAGTCTTCTGTGCAATCTACTTTATTAACCAGTGCTCTGATGGTAGCCAGCACAAATGATTCAAGTCAAATGAAGCAAGATTTTTACGACTTTATGACAGTTTAGATACATAAATTATGGGATTAGTTAGTTGCAATAAGCTGGTTTAAGACCAAAGCAACCTAATCACTTAAGTCTTGTGAGATTTTTTTCATCAGCTATCAGGCCTTCATTTTGCACCATGATTCCTACATGAAACATGACAGTGTGGGAAATGTATGCCCCCCACCCCTCTCCTGGGTGACATGACCGAGGGGACCACAGTAAATCACAAGAGGTGCTGAAATCCCAGACTCTGGCGAGGAAAGGGGCACTCTGGGAAAGGAATTTATTTTGATGCAATAACCCTCTAAAAATGACACCTGGCGTCTCTGCAGCCTTGTTCACAAGACGTGTAAAAGGATTAAAACACCCCCCCCCCCCCCCCAAAAAAAAAGAAGGGATAAAGGATACATGTAATGTGATGATTTGAATTTGAAAAAAAAAAGTAAAGATATTTTTCAAATTGCCAACAACTTACAATGCATGAAACTAACAGAAGAGTAATGTCAATGTAACATCACTACTTTATCTACAAGCTGCTTTCAAACAGTTTGTTTTCCTGTTGCAAGAAGACAAAACAAGAACCACGTGGCTGAAGGACAACTGCAGCCTGGGGAATGTTGGCAGCCACTTTTAAGAGAGCTGGTGGAGATTTATTAAGCTGGCAACAAAAAAAGACACGTTTACCAATACATGGCTCTGCACAGAGGGGGGTCACCTCATTAGTCAGCATGAGAGGGAAAATATCTAAAGAAAAAACAGCAGCTTCTGTTAATAATGTGCTCAGACGGCTGGCTTCAGGCTTATGTCATGGCTGCCAGACCATATTTCCCCTCTAACTAGCTCTTCTTGCACATTTTACACTGCATGTCTGTGCCCGTGGATCGGTATGCGCCTAGTGGATACAGCTATTATGTGTGTTTCCATGGCGTTAGCATTTACTGTTAGCATACAGACCTGCTGAACTGTGGTGGTGAGCTCCAGACACAGCTGGATGATCTTGTTCTTGGTAGTTGTGAAGTCACTAATTCCTGTAAGAGGTGTCCTAAAACAAGACAAAAAAAAGAGGAGAGGTAAAACTGTGAAATCAAGAGACTGATTGCATATTTAATTTATTGTCTAGATGCTACAAAACCGGTGGTTAAATTTATGTTCAGCAGTTTAAAACAGCTGGCAGCCATTCTGATAACTGCTCTGATAAAATAGCATTATCACCTGTCGAGCCAAGCCAAAAAGCTCTTAGCAGCACCGATCAGCTCCACTACAGAGGTGAGGAAGTCATTCTGTGGCTTGCGAGAGATGCTTCCATCATGCGCTGGGCTTTTTCTGCGATCCGACGTAGCCATGTGTAAACTATTGGTCGCAGCTCTCATCCTCATCACCAGATTCTTCAAGTTATCCGTTTCCACTCCATAGTTCTGGGAAAAAACACACAACAGAAAAATGACTAAACATACATAGAGTACTTTTACTGCAATCACGTGTAATAGCAGTCTAAACTTGGGAGGGGTTTGCTGTATTCTTTTAAAGCCATGAAGTTTTATTTTATCCCTGGAAAACATGTTGTTTCCTGTACAGTAAGTGACTGTAATCATTTCTTTGACAGATAAGATATGGGCATAAAATTCCACCCATGAGTTCCCAGATTAGCTCCTAGGTGTGCACGAGCCGTGACATGATTTCTATCAGGTTTACATTCTTGAACCTTGGTTGTTTCCTGACTTTGCATTCCTCTAATTTATGAATATTTTACAGGCAGCAAAAAGCCACATATAAGCACAAATTGGAGGCCTGAGCTGCAATAGAATGTACATATTTGAAGGTGCAACATGTGTCTGACAAATTGTTTGAAATTGCATTTGCTTAAGCTTAACAGAGAACGGCAGGGTCAGCTCTCGTCTCATTATTGCTGCCAGAAGTGCTGCTCTGTATGTGACATGCCAGCAGCCAAATATGCTTTGCAAGGAGCAAAATAGCACGCGTATGGCAACCGTTGGAAATCTGCAAGTTGTTAGTGTCTCCTTGTATTCTGCTCTCTCGCAAACATATGGACTAAAATCAACACGCAAATCAATTCACTTATTTCAGTCCCAGAGGAAACACTGAGGTTAACTGGACTAGTCAAACACCAGCTGAGCATGAAATGGGTTGCTGCAACATAAAAAACCCCAAAAACAACTCAATCAAAGAATTTGAGAATAATAGAAAGAGAAGTCATCTGATCTTTTGGCTTCTCACTCAGCCATTCATACCCAAAGTGCACAGGAGCAATGCGAGCATTTTCCAAGTCAAACACCTCCTTTGACCTCTTATTAACAGGCTGCTCACACACTCCCAGTGCTTCTGACCGCACTGGTGCTCAGTGAGCTTTTGTCTGAACGATTCCAGCTCAGAAAGAAACTACCGGTAATTTCTTTTCATGCCAAACTTTCACCCTGTGTATTGTTTCAAAAGTTAAATTAGGATCAAGAAGGGAGAAGTTGTACTTGTGCAAGATCAAGTTAGGGCCCTTTGGGAGAAATGATAAATGGCAATCACAGCACCCCCCCTCACATCCGCTGATGGCATTACAAGTCTGGTTTGAGTTTTAAAAGGAGCACAAATAAAGCCTGAGCAAGGGATTCATGTCTAAAATTAAATATTAAAATACATCTCAAAAAATTTACCTTAATTCAATCTTTTTTTTTTTAGATTGTGTGCTCAACAACTATTGGATAGAGTGAATGTAAGTTGACATTATGAGGTAATGAAGGGGCACTGTAATTTGAGAACAAATGCTGGGTTTCAATACCACCTCTGCAGAAGACATCAAGGCTGACAGATGTCCACCAAAATTAACGTAATGTCTCTTATTGTCCCTAAACAGCGGTTTGGACTTGACAGGTTTTGCGTGGAGGAAAATCTTTCTTATGAATGCTTCCTCCAGGGTTATGGGGCTGTTTGTGAGAACATCAGTCACTGTGATTTACTTTTGAAAACACAAACAGAACATGTATGTATGTATGTATGAGGAAAAAAAAAAAACCATAGGGTGCTGATGGTTTGAGCTCCTGTCAGTAGCAATGACCTTGCTTTGGTTGAAGCAAATTAAATCTGGGGGCTTCACTTCCTCTCATGGGGCATGTAGAAGTCTGAGGCCTCATTCCTAACAAGCAAAGCCCTAAAGGATGAAAAAAAATTAAGCTGCACTGTTTCAGTCAGAGGTGAAAGGTTGCTGAGAGTCCAGAAATCTTGGCTTGGAGTTTGACAAAAAAAAGAAAGGATGGTTAAAGTGTATAATAAAATGCAATATATAAGCTATAAGCAATAACACAGCTAATAAGCTGCTAACATGTTTATCAGGCAGAATACCTGCAAAAAAAATTGGTGCAAGATGGTCAAAGTGGCTCAAGATTTTTCTGCGATTTTTCTCCAAAAGATTCTGTGCATGTGCAAAAACCTGGGCCTCATTACTGTAACAGTAAAAGATGGTATGGATCAAAGGATGCTCCATATGGTACAATTTCCATGATGAGTAAATCTATAAAGACAGATAAAAGCAACTATGCATGTGCCGAGTGCTTCCAGGTGTCTGTGCCAATGGTACCAGGTACAGACTAAAATGTAAAGATACTTCATTAAAAAGTTATTTAATGTCCTGCTTTGAGTTCAGCATCAATTAGAGATGCATCATTCTCATAGGAAGACAGACTACGTATAGATTTATATAGCTTTCTTCAAGACTAAAAGTCACCAGGAGTTAAGAGGGAATTGCGAAGTGTTTAAAGAGAACATAAAGACAAAAACGCTGACGCTGATCAAAATGCAGGGACCGCAATCTGGGACTTTTATGGCACAGGAAGTGATAAAACTCCAAATTGATCCCATCTGCTGGAAAACCTGGTTTACTTTGGAACATGGATGAATTTTCAACTCTTTTACGCTGAAGTGGGGGAACATTTTTGGGGAGCTGTGATGATAGACAGCTGGCCAGTTGTTTCCAGAGGTGAGCAGCTGGAGACAAGTGTGATACATCGAAATGATCTAAAGAAGGAATTACTGTCTCCAAAAAACTCAAACTGCCCCCAAAAAAAGCATATTATGTCGCTGACCCAAGCTCTCCTGATACTGCCGTTATCGTGTTGTGGTGCCGTCACACCCTGCTGAGCAGTGTGGGAACTGACAAACCCCTCCTTCTGCATGGTTGGTCCCTTAAGCTGCCAAACCAGAAACTACAAACTGAAATATTTTAATACCAACACAAAGACCAAGAGAAGGTTCGGTGAGCAGCAGAGTTGCTCCAAAACCCTTCCTGAACATACAATCAAGTCCCACCATGAAATTTTTATGTCATTGAAAAGAAATGGACCAAATTAGCAGGTACTAACAAGAGCACAGAGCAGATCGACGGCCTCCAGAACAAGTTCCTGGTGTCCGATCCTCGCTACTCCCAGCTCCTCCAAGTCTTGATGTGTGATCTTCAGTAGTTGCTCCCCGCTGATCTTCTCACGCTCAAAATTACCAACATACTGCTGCAAGCTGTCGTCCAGGCCTGAACAGAGAAAAGGATTCATGAGACAAGTATTACAGAAAACATTGTTTTCATCCACAAATACATTGGCCACAAAGGGAGTCTTTCAAAGTGGGTTTTTGTTGAGTATTTATGAGGAGTCAATATTTTACCTGCAATAGGCAGCAGTTAGTGTAATCTGCAGCCTTCACTCAACCTACAAAATAATTAGGTTCATGTGTTTTAAATGGTGGAAATTTACTCTTTAATGGTCCCTGCTCTGATTACCTGTTAACTTTCCTGTTGCAGACACAACAGCCTGGAATACTCTTCCCTATGAGTTGCGTGCCATCTCTGATCTGGTTTTGTTCAAAGCCTATTTATTCAAAAGGGCTTTTAATGTTTAACTTTTAGTATTTTTTATTTATTTTCATCTCCTTTTACCTTCTTTCATTGTGCCTATGTTTTTAATTTGCACTGATTTATTGTGCCCTGTTTTATTTATTTGTTTTATCTTGTAAAGTACTTTGGTCAATGCAAGGCGTTGTTGGAAGGTGCTATATAAATGCAGTTTATTATTAGGGATGCACAACTTTGGATTTTTGGCTGATATCTGATATGGCGATATAGATGGGATATAGATACAGATGTTTTTTTTTCTTCCTAGACCTACTTACAGAGACTACATATCTTTCTCTGCTGTGGAATTAAAACACTACATTATTCTGCACGGTCGTTGTCAATTTGTCCTGCTATCAAATGCAGATGCCAAAAATGTGGCTGAAAATGAAGTAACACTATATACATATATATCCTATATAAAAAAAAAACTGTGCTTTTTATATCGGTGAGCTGATGACACAGTTGTTTACTGTCGAGCTGAAACAGTTGAAAAGTCTTTCCAGCTTTTGAAATCTGCATTCGACATCATCCAGACAGATTTGTTCCACCTCAAACTTGTCCTAAATGCCGACAAAACCAAAGGGATGCTTTTTTCAAAAAGGAAGTTGGTCCCAGCAGTTCTTCCTCTGATCTCATCCTCAAATGATGTCCCGATTGAGTTTGTTGATTCCTATAAATATCTGGGTATCTTGGTCGACTCGCATCACTGTTTTAAACTCCATGTGGAAAACTTGGTAAAGAAACTGAAAGTTAAACTGGGTTTCTTTTTCAGAAACAGATCCTGTCTAACTCTGAATGCTAGGAAACGCCTTATTTCTGTGACTTTCCTTCCCTCCATTGATTACGGTGACATTATTTACATGAACGCTCCTACAAGAACCCTGCAGATGTTGGATGCTGTCTATCATGGTGCACTAAGATTCATAACTGGCTGTGATTATCGTACCCACCACTGCACCCTGTATTCACTGGTTAACTGGACATCATTAACTTCACGCAGACTCTCTCACTGGTACATTTTCATCTTTAAATCACTTCTTGGTCTGCTGCCTTCATACATCTCCTCCTACATGTCTCTGCGTGAGTGCAGCTACAGCGTGCGCTCTCAGGACATTATTACCTGCAGTGTTCCCTCAGTGAGGACTGAACTAGGCAAAAGGGTCTTCTCCTACTCCGCTCCTGTTTCCTGGAATATCTTACAAAAAGATTTGAAGCTCTTGACCTTGACCTCTCTAAGTGTCTTTAAGAATCTGTTAGACACCTGGCAGGGACCAATGCAGACGTTCCTGTTTTTAGTTTTCTACATTCACCTTAGAATCTAGCTGGGTTTTGTTACTTTTCTTTTTTTTAGCCATCCTATTTGTTTAAAAAAAAAAAAAAATCTGTATGACTTTTTAGAACTGTCTATTGTTGTCGCTGTTGTCCATTGTTGTCATCTCTCTTTGTTGAAATCAGGTCTCTCTTGTAAATGAGTCCTCGAGGCTCAATGGGATTTACCTGTCTAAATAAAGGTTGAATGAAAAAAAAAAAAGTTATTTTGATGGAATGGCCGATGTCCGATATTTAACTATAGCTAATATCTGCCGATACCAATACCATGCCAATAACATTGCGTATTCTTATTTATTATTATATTATTCTTTTTATTATTTGCTTGAATTAATGAGTGTATCTCTGTCTCCAAACTGAAATCCCTCAGACCACTTTCTACTACAGGTATGACCACACACTCCATTTTAAAGAATCTAAGCTATTTCTTCAATGTCCTGATGCGTGTCCAATAATTCAGGTTGAAAAATCTAACAAGGATCAGGTCATCTGGACGGATTCTTCTTTGTTGAAGAATCTTTGAAGAAGAATCTGTCCAGATGACCTGACAATTTTGTTAAGATATTCCTTCAATGCAAAACAAAACCAATACACCTGGACTTTATCAAGTTCATCAACACGTGCCCAAATTGTACAAGAGTCCGTGTGTGCACAGTGCAAACAAGGAACAGGTGGGACATCTGTTTTGCCAGATAAACACACCATAAACAGTAACGGTTGACACCTCCAAGTCTGTTAAGCTGGTTAAACAATGGGTGCTATATTTTTGTGTGAATTGTGTGTGGGTGTGGGCACTTGCAGTAAACGTGCCAGTATCATAGACTGGCCCATTTCTGCTATTTAAAGTTCTGATACCAAACGAGTTTGACCGTTACAACACCAACAGGAAGTCGAAGGATGTAGCTTCCATAAAATACAATGGAAGCAGAATGTTCTGACGTTGAAGATTAAGCTCTACACTGTTAGCACAAGCAAACAAAAATGATCTCCCTATACATGCGATGGAGGGGGGGGGGGGGGGGCAGAAAAACGCCATCAAAGAGCGCACAGAGAAGTGGCAGCTGCAGCTACATGGCCCCGTGCCCTGCATCTCTAAAAGACCTGTCAGCTGCAAGACACCCCAACTCTTTTCAACCATACCACCCACAAACCCCTAAATAAATACCATTATATAGACTTTAAAACATTTAACGCTATGTTTCAAAATGCAAAAACGATTACTTTAGGTATTATTTCTCATTGGCAGAGCTTGAAGTTGAGTGAAAAAGTCTGGGCGTGTTTGGCGTTTGCTGCCTTTCTAATGGCTTTTTTCCTCGGTCACACAGTGAGTGCACCTGTTGCTGACAGTTTGCATACAGGAAAAATAAACGTGGCTGCGTGTGTGTGTGAGAGCAAATGGTTAGGCAGCGCTGACCAAACAGACAGCCTGTGCACTGCATCAACGTGTAAAAAGCACATATTCAAAAACTTGTTTATGCTAAAGCACCAAACTTTAACACTGCATGTGCTTTAATTTAAAGAGTTAACAAGAAAAAAAGCCCAATAAATTTAGGTTTAGACATTAATTATCAGACTTTAACTGACAAAGCATTCAGACAGTAGCTTCTAAGTATTAATGACGTAGCCGAAACACTGTTCTGACTTAATCTGTTTGTTTTTCATATTAGTATTCTGCATTCATATTTGATTTGTTGTTCTGTCACGTGAATTAAAAAAAAGGCACCGATCAGAATTGACAATATTAAAACCAAACCCAGTCCAAGGCAGTAAACAGCATATACGCTCATTTTTAAGACAGCTTAATGCATATTTTCAATACTTGTTTAATATCAGAAACTAGGCCTGTCGCAATAAACGATAAATCAATTAATCGCATGATAAATGAAAATTATCAACCTCATTTTCATTTATCGGCTGTATCGTTTCTTCGTCTCTCTCTTTCTACTGAAGACACTGGATGACAAAAGGCTCAACTCTGGTGCTCTTCACTGACCCCTTCCTTTCTCTTTTCTCTTTAAAATCCATTTTAACCGTTCGTGTTTTTGGATCGCTAAAAGCAGCTAAGATGAGAAGTTACGAGTTAATCTAAACTCCGTCTTGTCGAAGCTCCAAAATTCACCGTTGAAACCTGTGCCTTAGTATAAAAAGTTGTTTTTCTCTGCAAAAAGAAGCTGATAACTTGTTTACTGATTTTTTTTTAAATTAAAAGATTTGTGTGAAAAATGCTACGCTAAAGAGCTCCAACCACACAAGAGAGCGTCTAGAACCGAAAAGAGACAGCCCATGTCACGTCAAGGGGCCTCCCTCCCATTTTTCTTAAAACACGCTGCTCGCTCCCTTACTATCCATCCTTTGGTTCAGTCTTATATTGCCATCCGGTGGTTGAAAAATGTACTACTGTACATGCAAAAGAAATTAAACATTTCTCCTTAAATTAGACAATAATCACTAATTATTGTCAAATTTCAAACAATATTATCGTTTATCTCAATAATTTCTGAGACAATTAATCGCCCAGCAAAATTTGTTATCGTGACAGGCCTATCAGAAACTATCATTTAAATAAAGATTACACGCTATATTATAGTTTGGGGTGTGTAGGCCAGCAATCAGGGTGTCGCACATACCTGTGCTATCTATAAAAAATGTTTTAAAAGCCATACTCCATTAAAGCAACACGGTCAACTTACAGCCAAAATCCTTGTGAAATCACAATGCAACTGAGAACCTAAATTACAAGGAAAGTCCTTCAGGATAATCATTAGCCTACACACAAGTCAAGTCCTTAAGCCTCATTACATTCTACTAATTCCTAAGCATTTTAATTCTTAGCAAGACTTCAGAGAATTTTGTTTTTTGAATAAACTCTGGTTGGCATTCTCTGAAAGAATTTCCTTCAATCTGGGAAAAAAAAAAAGAGACTGAGTGCTGGCCAGAGTCAAAAACAAACACCGAGCCAGTCGTCTAACGAGATTAGAAGAAAACAAAGACTTGAGACCTGGAGCAGACAAAGTTTCTCCTTCCTGCTGTATAAAAAAAAAAGGCATTTCCTGAGGAACACCGTCCTCGAAAGTAAAAGAATAAGCTGTGGTTGGAGCTAGAAAAAGACCGTTCAGGTCTCATTCTGGCTAAATCGTTTTAAAAATGATTTAAACTTTCTAGACGTATGAAAACATTTGGGAAATGATGGGAGGTGTTAACTCTGTTTTGGTAATTTGCAATATTTTCAGAAGTGACGATTAAATTATCTTAAGCGTTTTAGCAGAGTAATTAAGTTTCTTCATATGCATCACAAATTAACCCCTAACACT